TCAATGTGCAGAGCTTTTTTGTGTGTACTCACATTAGCTACATGATTTCGAATTTTAAGAAAGATGTTTCTCCTCTACCATAGATTAAAAAAAATATTTCATTGCATCTCAAGATACAGATCTTACAATTTTGGGAAAATGCATTCTTGTGATGCATTAAAAGACAATGTTAGAAAGATCAGTTTCTGTTTCTGTAAGATCAGTTTGTAGGGGGTTTCAACTAACCTAAGTCTTGGCACACACAATTTCAGTTAATAGTTAAATGAAAACCTATAAAGGGTTTATTCTTGTGCTATACCAGGCGAATTTTCTTATCAATGAGATGAGTAAGTAAGGTGCTTGATGTCATATTTGATGAGGACCTTTTAAACTTCAAGATGATTACATGAATTTTTGAACATGTCTATAGTTTTTTTTTAAAAAATAAGAGTTTCAGTTTTTTAAAGAAACATTAAGAAAGGTCATTATAGATTTTAAAACATAGTAAGACTGAGGATTCCAATTGAAATAGAAATAGAATTATAATCATAAATATATATTAACTGTCAACATACAGCAACATAATAAAGTATTTAGTAACATATTACAAGAACTATTTTTATACTAACAAAACTCTATTATAGGAAAAGCACAAAAAAAATAAAGAGTATTTTAATGTAAAAACCTTAGTTTCATTATAGACCCTGATAATGGAAAAAACTTAAGATGTATAAATTCCAGTTTAGTATTATATACTAAAAGTAAAATGTACTTCATCAGATAGAAAGTATGTGCAGATGTGTATCTGTGCAGACTGAGAAGGAATAGGCACAGTACAATTTGGAGAGTGGTTTAAGTTTGCATACTACTACAAACTCAAGTAAATTTGGATATAAGCAGTACATTTATTTATTCAAATTATTTCATAAAGAGTATTTCACATGATCTGTTCCCATTAAAGAGAAAAATCTTATATATAATTTATGGTCACAGGTACAAGAAACATAGCATGTATTTTTAGAAACCTTCAAGTGATTATTTCTTATATTGATAAATATCTTTAAAATGTATTAAGATGTTACATACCAGAATCACAAGAAATAAAGAAAATCACTGCATTCTGGGTGCTGAGGAATTCTACAAGTGTTAAGTTTTCTCTGCACTTGAATAAAATGGCAATGCAAATTTTATTTTTATAAAACATATATCAATATCTGAATCAAAATATTTTATCGCTAAGTGAAGGATAAAAACTAAGTTAATTTTTGTAATTAGATTTATTACTGGAATGTTTAGAGATATCAGATTCTTCTTTAGTTCATGCTTCAGTGGGCTACCTAAGTTCAGGACCTTGTACAGGGCAAGAGAAGAAATGGCTAGGGATAGCATATAAACCGGGGTGGTAGGTTAATGCCAGAAGTGTGACTGATTGATTGATTGACATCACCTTGAAAAATCTGGATTAAAGTAGTTTATTAAATTTATCCAGGTAAAATTTTAAGTAGAATGGATCACTGATTAGATTCAGCGTTTTACCCATTTGCCAGAACCTGGGAAATTCCTTTGCACTCAAACAATAATTCACTAAACAGAATAATAAATGTCTCACTACACAATCACCTACCTATGCAAACTATATTAAATATGGAATGTATCAAAATGTATCCATTTACTATAATAGAATTAAAATTTAAGTGTAATTTTATTGCAAATGGCTACTGTTTTTTATATTGGCAAGAGCTAAGTATGGTTCCATTGGTTTATGCATACTAATTAATTTGTGGAGCTCTGAGTTATACGTTATTTCTCTAATCTTTACCTATTCTCAAACTAGGAAGCAGATACAGAAATGCCAAGGAAAGGATGTTAGGTTCAAATCTGAGAAGCCTGAGTCCACAGTCCAGGTTTATTATTGGGTGGCTCTTATGTTTTTATCTCTTAAAATAAAATCACAATGTTGAAATATCTTTGTAGATAGTAGTGACCTTTAGGATAAAACATATGACCTTAACGTTTCCTTAAAACTGATATGAAATTTCTATAGAAAAACATCAATCAGTTAGCATTTTCTAATACATTGGACACACTGACTGCATGTTTAATTTTGTTCTTTCAGATAATGTTCATAAGTTTATGAAACTCTAAAAATGAAGGAGAGATATTTGTACTAAGGTTTTTAAGATCAACGCCCACAGTGTTAGTTAGGCTCCAGGAAGATATCATTGAATGAATTAGAAAGTTTCCTAACTAGAACTCAGGGTGCCTGAGACGGTAGAACTTATAGCTTGAATGAGAACAGTGAATGTGTTAAAGGTAAAGTGTTAAAAGTATAACCCAGTATGACAGACTTGGTTACATAGCAACACCCTGTCTCAAAACAAACAAAAAAGACAATGGAGAAAATAAAATAGGAATTATGGTTTAGAAAGACAGAGCGGAAATACAGATAATAACTTTTGTAAGAGAGATGTGTAGATTTTATAACATATAAGACAAACTATTTCAAGATGGTGTAATGTATTGGGGTAGTGCTTAGATTTAATATTCTAAGAAAAAGTAAATAAATGATGAACAGTCCTTTTAATAGACATGTACTACAATGAAACAAGTAGGTATTGAGTATGAAAAAAACACTTCACAGTACATATGTCAGGTTTGAAAATAGGTAGAAAATGCTAAAAGGAGAAAGATGACTGTGAGAGATGTAGTTGTGATCACTTCTGAACACAAGATTCGGGAGAGAAGCACCTCTATAAGGATCCCCACATTCACCCCTTATACTGTATCTTGAGCAGAGTTCTTTCCTCATGATTATATATGTATGTGAGTTGTCTCCCATAAAATCACCTTTTGAGGGTCAGGTCCCTAGTGTCACAACATAACTGGTGGTGGAACTTTAACAAGGGATGCAGTAGGAAGTTGGGTGTCACTGAGATGCTGTTCTTGAGAACAATATATGGAAAGATTAGTGCTTTCTATCCAAATTGATTTATTTCTCTGGGAGTGGTTGTTACAAAAGAAAAAAGCAGAATTGACCATTTCTAGCTTTGGATTCCCTCTGTCTCCATAAGATCTCTTTTCCACACACCTCCAACTATGCTGTGCTTTCTTCTGCCAGGAGTTTGTCAGTGGAAGCTGAACATGTGAGAACACATTAGACTTTCAGCCTCCAACTCTGATTAGAATAAACCTCTTTGCTTTGTAAGTTCCCCGTTTTAGGTATTCAGTTATGGTACTGTGCATGTTCAAAATATAAACAAAGACAAATCTTTAAGCGTAGACTGGTGGACTGGAAAGATCATTTATCACCACACAGGCTACAAGTAAGTGAGGCATAATTTACTAAGTGAGAAGTTATAAAGTTACAAAAAAAAATTGGAGTCACAATGAAATATAACAATGTAATAGAAGTTTAATGACTTCTTTCTGTCCATACTAATGGCTATGTAGTATGCTAAGTGACGACCTTATACCTTACCTGTACTATGGGAGTGATACATTGCAGTTTTCCTCAATAGATGCCTGCAAACTGAGCAGCCCTACCCATCTCCATGTCTCTTCTCCATCAATTCTATGGTAACATTTCCAATGCCACCACCTTCTAATTGATTTTACTATGTTCAGTCTTGCTTTGTTCTTATCATGTGTCCCAAGGTCATAACTTTAAAAGAAAGCTTGATTACTTCATTTTTGATTAGAATTTTATAATGCCTTTTGGTTTTGGGAATATAATCAAGTCATATTCTCAAGGTACCCTACAAAGGTTGGGTTAACGTTGCCTTGCTTCTGCCAAGTTATCTAGTTGCATGCAAGCTTTGCCTTGCTCAAACCAGTGCTTATTTTAGTTTCTGGAATGTCCTTATCAACACCCACTTTTAAGGCCTTTCAATAAATCTATGCCATTGTTCAGGTTACTCATGTTACACAATTCTTGTTTTTCTCCTACTTTTACTCAACCTTGAAATTTTTCTCAAATAATCATTTCTTCCCTAATCCTTGGCATAGATTCACACTGAGTTTTTCTTACTTTCCTACCATACAATATTATTCACTTGCATTTCCATACACTTAAATAATATTTATTGTATTTGACACTCCCTATCTTGTGATTCTCTTCTGCCAAACAGTCAACTCCATTCCTCACAATTTGCTTTTACTTCATGTAATAATTCTCTATCTTAATTCTCTTCCATGATAAAAATGTCCAAATGGACTTTAAATGGATATGTTAATGGAATTAATAGCTAAGTTTATGCTCAGTCCCTAAGTTTTAAGGGTTAATTTATTCTGATTTATTAAAAATGTTTTGTTCGGTTTACTGATGACTTTATATGGTGCATATTATTTGTTTTAGAATATACTAAACACATTAAAGTAAAACAAATTAAAGTTTAAAAAGTTAAACAAATTAGTAAAAACTATAAGGTAATCACAAGCTCTCAAATTAAACCTTTAAACAAATCTATGCTAGTGACTTTTTTTTGCTCAACAACTGAAGTAAATATTCAAAAAGATATAAAGTTCATCAAAACAAACTTTATCAAAACAAAGCAAAAATATATCTGGGAAATGGCAAGAAATTTTATTTGTAATTAAGGAAAAAAATGGAAGTCTTTCATAGGTATTAAAAGGGGGTTGGTGAGATCTACCTCATTTCCAAGCTTTAGGGTGCACAAATTTCCTATCATATGAAATAGAGTAATATGTACATATAATTTACGTATACGTTCCTGTATACTTTAAGTCTTTTTTAGTTTTAATTTTAACTTTTATATTAATTATAGTTTATTCACTTTGTAGCTCAGCTGTAGCTCCCTCCCTCGTTCACTCGCAACTCCACCATCCCTCCCTCATCTCCTCCCATGCTCCTCTCCAAGTCCACTGTTAAGGGAGGTCCTCCTCCCCTTCCATCAGAACCTAGCCTATCAGGTCTCATCAGGACTGGCTGCATTGGCTCCCATGAGGAGGGAGCAGCCTTAACAGGCCACAAAGGAAAACAATGCTTTAACTCTTTCTAGAGAATTATTGAGGTATTGCAGGTGTGGCTGCTGTGTCACATGTGTGTCATTAAGTGGCAGAGAGTACAGAGGCTATGTCTATGTTCAGTGTTCTGATCCATGAACATCTGAATGATTAGTAGCCTAACATTCCCTGAAAAAAGTGAGCCTGAGATGATCACCATTCTGGTGTCATGGAACCCAGAAAGGAAGTTAGCCTGAGATGACTGCCAATCGGGACCACTCAGGCCTGGACAGGTCAGACCATGCCCCATATCCTGAGGTGATCCCAGACGCTCAGAGACCCTAGGCACTACTAACGGGAGCAAGTAAGTGGCACATAAATGGAAGAGAAAGAAAAACAAAAGGATTAAGGCACAATGAAGACTGGTAGAACTGGAGCCTTGAGAGTATTGGGTGAGCTGTTGCCTTGTGTGAGCAGCCTGTGATGCCACCTGGGACCATGGTGAGACTGTGGCCTGTGTTGTCACAAAGAGCCAAGTCTGGGTCTGTGACCCTGCAGCAGCAGGAGTCTGTTAACACCAAAGTCAGGCAAATGTTCCTGGTCTGGGAGACCACCAACCTGGGGACATGTTGGTGTCTGAGGGCTTGTGCAGGACTGGCTCCACCAGTCACCTAGGCATCCTGAGAGAGCTTGCCCTTTAAGGCTTGAGAGCAGGAGAGATGACCTCACCCTAGCCAGCTGGAGTCCCTGGGAGAAAGCGCTCCACACTTGGCAGGATTTGCAGGTGATCCAGCTTGAGGATAAGAGCATGGGAGAGCTGGCCTTGCCCCTTAATACCAGCATCACTCAGGAAAGTGGGACAGACACCTCCCCTGGCTAGCACAATAGAGTTGATCCTAGTAGCAGGGTTCCTTCAGGGCATGAATAAGGGAGAGGTGGTCCTGCTGGTCTGTTGTACTATGAGATGACATCAGCAAGGGAAAGACGCCCTCCCTCTTGCCTCTTGCTACTTATGGCAGGTAGGAGAGCTATCCCTTGTATCATGAGCCCTCCTCCCCTTCCTAACCCCTGACCACCTATAGCAGGTGGGAGGTCTGAGAGTCATGGGAGAACTGGCCATGTCCCTCACCAGCTGCAGCTCTCAAGAGAGCTGGCCCTGCCCTCACCTTGACAGCATGGTGGAGCTGGTCCTTGTTGCAAGGGTTGTTGGTGAGTGAACCCCTAGGGTGTGAGAGCCAGAGAGCCAGCATTGTGATCAGCTCAGATACCTCTCAGACACAGACACAGGGATTTGAACTGGCCCAACCCAAAATCTACCCTACATATGAACTGCTAGAGTGCATGAAGGGGCTGGTCCAACAGATCCAAAACTACAGGATCTCCATGACAAAGAACAACAACAGGATATGTGAGAGGAGTCCCAGTGAGATTCTAATATTAATAGAGTAGCAAAAGCCAGAGGCTTGGAACAAGACCAACGAGTCATTGCAATGAACATTTGCAGGCAATGCTATGGCACACTATAGCTCCAAGAAATTTTTTAATCCTCTTTTGGGGAGGCGGAGGTTGCTAGGGTGGAGGGTAGGGACAAGGGAAATATGAGATGAGTGGGATTGGGCTGCATGATGTGAAATATTCAAAACAATGATAAAAAGAGTTTTATTTAAGAAATGGAAATCAGTGCAGCTCTACCATTTTCTGTCTTCCTCATCTTGAATTTAAACTAAAAAAAAAATACTACATTCAATGATTTTTGTTATTATGAAAGAGATCCTAATTTTATTCACAATCCATAATTAAGATAGATCATTCTTACTATTTTAAGAATCTGTAGTTGCTTCTCTTTTGCCCATCCTTATAGCTAATATTTATATTTTGGAAACTTTTTCCTGATGATTTGGGAAGAGGGATTGTTTGTTCCATTTAGAGCAGGGAACTTCAAGGTTCTCTGTGTGTTTTTCTGTGTGTTGACCAAGTGTGTGTGTGTGTGTGTGTGTGTGTGTGTGTGTGTGTTTATTAATCACTACCAACTACAAGAAGAAGCTTCTCTGATTCATATAGTTGTGATATATTTATATGTATATATGAGTGTAAAAATAGTAATCAGAGAAAAAGAAGTCATAAACTAAAGAGATAGCGGGATGTGGAGGGATTGGAAGGAGGATAACATGGGATAAGTTGAATTTGGGAAGAAGGAGCAAGTGATGTAATTATATTTTAGTTAAAAAGAAAATGCAAAAGAAACATCTTTAATTAGCTGAAAGATATGCTTACCAAACAGTATAAAGATAAGAACTTAACTGTCATGTTAGCAGAATAATAGTAAGGAGAGTAATCAACCATGTGTTTCTGTCATAGTCAACAGTATCAGGCATAAATTTCCACTTGTATATTAATTAGGCTTTAAATCTAATTGTAAATAGTTGGCTTCTCACAACGCTTTTACCACTATTACCCCAGCAGGTATGTCTTGCCAGGCACATTGTCATTGTAGCTCATATGGTTTTCAGTTGAGTAGAACTGTTGAATACTTTTTCCTTCCAATACCATTCATAGAAACATTCTAACATCATGAAAGCAAGCATCATGGATGAAGTTTCTAGGTCACTACTTCCTTGATTTCTCCAAATCCTATGATTCAAATGTGTGGTATCTTCAGTGTAATACCTTACCATTAAGTACTAGAGGATAATTAAGAACAATGGCGATAGTCTCTAATGTTTTAGGAGGGAATTTTGTAGAACCTCAGTAATCAACAACTTGAAAAGTGTTAACCCATACTTAGCACTGGGAATTTTATTAGGTAGACAGTGGTGTCTGGGCAGGTCACTGTCAGTGTCCCGTCTCCCCACATTATAAGGTAAAGCCATTTATAGCCCTTGATATATATATATGTGTGTGTGTGTCTGTGTGTGTGTGTGTGTGTGTGTGTGTGCGTGCGCGCTCATGTGTATTAGAAAGCTTGGATAATAGTGGGTCTTCATATGGAATTTTCAAAAGTCTTTAGTGTTATTCTTCCTCATAATCATGTTTCTACCCTGTGCACCATGGAAAGAAATTACTGTTGCACTTTCCCTCCTTTTTGTAGCTTGAAATCTTAGCTATTCCTGCTGCCATGTCATCTACCATCATGGTCTCTAACTCTCTAAAAACTTACGGCCAATTAAATGCTTTCTGTTTAAAGATTTCCTTGCCATACTGTTTTATTACAGCAACATAAAAGTAATTAACACAAAAGTTGCTACCAAAAAGTGAGCTATAGCTGAGACAAGCCTGGCTAAGCTCTTCTGTGGAAAATGGTGGAAAACTTTGGGATTTTGGACTTGAACAGCAGATGAATGTTGTAAGTAGAACTTAATATGACATCCTATTAGAAGCTTAAAAGAAGTTTTGAAAGCTATAATGGACTGTAAAGGCCAAGTTCAACTTTAGAGGGTAAAAATTTTAGTAGTTTGGCCAGAGATTATTATCATAATATTTTGTTAAAGAATGTGGTTGCCCCTGCTCAGATGTAGCCCATGGCAGCTCAGTGTCCAAGTGGGTTCCCTAGTAAGGGGAACAGGGACTGTCCCTGAGGAACTCAATGGTGGGCTTATTGACCAACCCCCCACTCCCTGAAGGGAGAGCAGTCTTGCCAGGCCACAGATGAGGACAGTTCAGCCAGTCCTGATGAGACTTGATAAGCTCAGATCAGATGGAAGGGGAAGAGGACCTCCCGTATCAGTGGACTTGGAGAAGGGAGTGGGTGGAGATGAGGGAGGGAGGGTAGGCCTGGGAGGGAATGAGGGAGTAGGCTACAGCTGGGATACAAAATGAATAAACTATAATTAATATAAAAATAAAAATTTAATTTAAAATTTTAATTATGTAAAACAATACTTTACATTATGAACTGATAATGAAATAATTATAATTTTTCTGTATAATAATTTTATGTCCTTTCAAATGTCATCTTCCATGCAGGGAGCATTGTTGTTCATGTTCTATTGTGCAGTGTATTTCAAATACATAAAATTTAAGTACTTTATAGTTTAATGGAATTTATTATGACATTTGATAATTAAAAATAAATTCCACTTGTTTTTAAAAAAAGTTCAGATGACTAGAGATGCTTCTTAGCAGGTACCAGAAAGAAATTATCTTGAACATGAAAATCTTTGAATCTTATCAGGATGTAAAGTAAATAAATAACTTAATTAACTTAAAAGAAAAGAATGTGGTTGCTTTTTGATCATGTCCTGAGAATTTGCTTGAGGTGAGGCTAAAGTAAAAAGTAATAGACTCATTTCTTTGTCTGATGAGATTTCAATCCTAATATTGACTTTATTGTGTGGTGCATACTAATCACTTACATGCTCATTTCAAATGGAAAAGAGTGAGTAGGGAAATAAGTAAATATGTAAGTAAAGTATGCACAGAAGAGAACAGGGGTATGAGAAAATTTAATGATGGAGCCAAGGATGATTACGAAAGAAGCAGGAAAATTAAGGAGAGGACAGATCTACAATAGAATAAAGGGAAGCCTGTCCTCAGGGCAATATCATACCAAGTTAAACTATGGACTTGTGAAAAGAAAAGGCCTAAGAAATTCTCTGTTCCTTAAAAAACAAATAAAAACTGGCATTAAGTTTGATTCCAAGAAGCCAGTTTCCATACCAAGCAAGCAACCAAGCTTGACATTGTTGTCCATATTATTCTGGCTTTAGAGTCCTGAAGGATGCATGAGTGAAGGGGTTTTGGGATCTTCTTTTAGTTAAGGAAAATCACCCAGGTCAGGCAATATGTGGCTCAGTAGTCCTGGCCTAAAGACCCTGATAGCAAGAGGTCTTAACATGCCATTGCATGAAGCTGTGGAAATGAAAACTAGACTGCACTAGAAACTTCATTATGCTGGACATGTCAGAGCCCTGAGACTTTTGTCAAGGATGGATGCTGACAGTGAGAAGGACCAGCCCAAGAGAGATGAATATTGCAGGTAGCTGAGCCAGTAGGATAGAGTCATCTCTGACTTCTAATATCAGATATGAGTTGGAGGATTTGAAGTTTGCTCGGCTGTGTTCATGTCTTGCTTTGGTCCAATATTTCCTCACTATTCCTAGAGACCTCTATGTTGGAATGGTACTGTATATATTGTGTTAATGAATGTTGGAAAAATGTAATTTGCGTTTTTATTTTTACAGGGGTTAC